CTTTTTTCAGTCTTTCCCCACAAGCCACATGGTCAGGCTGCCTCCATGGTCTCATTCCTCTCCTGCGTGTGTCTGTGCTTCCCTTCCTGTGCAACTGCCATCACATGCAATCCAGTCATCTCAGCTGGGTGCCCCAGAAAACAGGCCTGAAAACAGCTGTTGATGGTCTCCAGGCCAGAGGCTACTCAAACTGACTATGCTGAAAGGCAGCAAAAGGATATTTGCTTCCACAGGCAGGAAGAGAGTCTCTCTCTCTGTTAAAATTTCAATACGGTGGGAAATTTCTCCAGAACCCTCGGATCCTTCCACTCCAATTGCCATGGCATAAATCTCGATCTCCAGTTCAGCCTGCAATCCTGCTGCCACCTGGAAATGACACAGCGCCACCCAGCGATAGCAACATGAGAAGTGGAAAATTGGATGTGTAACTTACACATACAGGGGGAACTTATGTTCATCAATTGTAAAAACCTTCCCACTGCTGCCAAACTCCTTGTCCCACCTCCCACTCATCTCTGTTTGTGCTTCCTGGGTCACAAATCTCCCTTCGCATTGCAGCAAGACAACTGCTTTCTGCTGGCTCTGATGCAGGCACCCCCAGCAGTTCAGTGCTAGTATGAAGGGCTGTTTAGTATGTGACCTACGCAGTAGTTGCTCTTTTCGGTCTGTCAGAACTTGACCTGGATTTATTTGTCGGGAAATGCATAGAGATTACACCCCAGGCAGGAGCAGGCAGGCTTAACAGAAGAGCTGTAATTGGGATGTGAGGACGGTTTGTCGTCAGACTGCCAGCCACTCTTTTCTAGTCTCTGTTGTGCCATTTCAACATGGAATAGAGCAACGTGAAGTGATTTTTGCTCTCTATTTTTGTGGGATCCTAAGCTTAGCGATGAAGGGAACTGTCCCCTTCACGCCACCATTCTGTATCCTTTCCATCTCCCTGTTCTCCCACACGCCCTCCCCTGCTGACTTCATGCCTTTAGGGTACAGCTAGAATGCGGGGTTTTTACGGGATATCAAAAGTATCCCGAAAAAACCCCACCGCGTCCTGGGAACGCATTTGCTTTTCCGATTTTTTCTGCGGAAGAGCAGACGCGATCTTTGAGACGCCCCTGTATTCCTCATTCCACGAGGAAGAAGGGGGCTTTCGAAAGAGGGAGTTTTTCTGACATTTGGCCCAGTCTAGACAGACTAAATGCCAGAAAAGCCTCTTCCAACAAAAGTATTGGAAAAAGCTATGCAAAATGCGGAGTGCATTTTGCCAGGGGTGGCCCATCCATATAGGCAAACTAGGCAGTTGCCTAGGGCGCCTAGTTAAATGGAGCGCCAAATGGTGGCGCAATATCATTGAGGGGTTTGGAGGTGGGGGCGTCGATTGCATGGTTCGCCTAGGGCGCCACTTGCTGGCAGCTAGTCTAGGGCCGCCCCTGCATTTTGCACAGCGTTTTCTGACAAACAGATGTAGTCTAGATGTACCCTTAGAGAACAGGAGCCTCTCAGAATGGGCTGGGGGAAGCAGCAGGAGAATATTGCCAATACTCGGGAACTAAATCATGGGAAAACAAGGCCTACCAAAGGCAAAAAGATCCCTATTATCTCTTGTAACTAACCCTTACTGCATTAAAACCCTTCACTCTCCCTTGTGTTGTTTCTTCTTTACCACTGTACCACAGGAGAAGAAAGAAAAACAGAAGGGCCTTTTTGTCTTTCAAGTGTCTAATATCTCTTCCTTCTCCTCTTCCCAAAGTGTCCTCTCCGTCCTCCATTTAGTCTTTCCTTCCTTTCTTGTCCCTCCCCAATTGCTTTCCTCTCCCCTTGTTTAACCCCCTATCACCCTGCCTTCAGACTGAGCAGCAGAAAAGGTGATGCTGCATGCTGTAGCTGAGGCAGAACCAGAGAGAGGAAAGGAGAAAAGGGGGAAAAGGAGGATTGTTGAGAAGGAAAGCAGGAGGGTATCTTTTTCCATGTCCCTTGAGCTCAGTCATGGTTTGAAGGAACCTTGAGTTCAGGAGATTTCGCTTCAGGTACTAGGTCTGTCACTGACACATTGGGCAAGTTATTTCACTTCTCCAGGCTGGGCCTGCTGCCACTTGTGTTTGAATTTATCATGGTGACTATTCTTGCACTATAGATAGGGCTCGACCACAGTCACGGGTATGAAAAACAAGTCACAGACCATGAAATCTGCTCTCTTCCCATGAAAGGCAGTCTATATTATGTACTTTTACCCTTTCTATACAGGTTTCATGGGGGAGACCAGTGTTTCTCAAAGTGGGGATTCTGACTCAAAAGGGAAGTGCAGGGAGGTCTGAAGGTTGGGGGAGGGAGCAGTATTGCCACAGAATCTTCTGTGCTGCCTTCCGAACTGGCTGGCAGGAGAGTGGCAGTTGCTGAGGGCCGAGCCCCCTTCCACATTCCAAATCCCTCAGCCCCACCCTGTCACAAATCGTCCAAGTGTAGAATGAATTTTGCTTTGTGCGCCCATAATCTGAACGTGGTGTGGCACACACCATCTCCAAACCAGCAGTGCACATAACAAAATGCACTGCACACATGGACATGAACAATGAGAGGGAACACTGGTCAAGACCCCTCCAGTTATAACACAATTACATTTCAAATTTAAAAAGCTGAATTAATGACATTTACTATTTTTTAAATTCTCTGACTGTGAAGTTGACCAAAATGGGCTGAATTTGGTAGGGCCCTAGGTATGGAGAACAATTGGAGACTTGCCAAAGAGCATTTCACAGAATCTGCTCCATTCAGATGAAGGAGGCAGCATAGATAACACACATGCTCCATGCCTCTCACCCTCTCATTTCTTCACCAGTGGACTGCAAGACCTGCAAATTCACTGGCTTTTCAGTTCTGGCCCATGCTAGCCCGTCCCTCAGAGTGATGCTAGAGGGGTTTGCTGGGAAATTTCCTGGAAGTCTTGAAGACCAGCCTTCAGTTGCTTGAAAAAGTACATTCTACCCAACTGTACACATGGTCCCTGTGACTTACAGGTCCTGGTTTATAAATCACTCTCAGTCCTGTGTTGGGAGGTGGCTGCTTCACCCGAAACCTGCCAGGGAAAAGGTACAATCAGTCTGCCACCTGGAACAGTTCAGGATAGGCCAGGCCAATTGAAAGAAAAGTAGAGAATGCACAGTTCCTAAATGTGGAAATATTTCTGGGCTTTTTGCCCTAGCTCCATTCAAACAGTTCTTAACAGAAACAAAGAAAATCAAAACATCATTTAATGGGCTAAAGGAATCTAACTCCTCACAGAGCTCACTAGCCACTGCCTACGGCCATAAGGATAAAAAAAAAAGGACATGATTTTCCATACTTTGGTTACATAGGAACATTTTCCCCCCTATATTGTTCTATATTTTTTCTTACATTTAACATGAAAACTTCACCTCCTTTTTGGAGCAAAACATTAATACATCCAACCATAGCAGCTGAACTGCTGCCTTTCTGGAAAAAGTAACCCCACTAACACTGAAGGCAGAGAGCAGTTAAGAGCACAGACCCATCTGGAAAATATTGTCTATCACCACCCATCTAAACCCTGGTGCTAGGAATCTGCTGCCATTCCCCTATGTGCCCTGTGCAATTGTCCTCTCTCACACCCAGCATTAGCTACATGTTAATTCTGTAATTTCTGTGGTTGTGTTTTCTGAAGCTGGGTGTTTTAGATCAAGGGTTCCCAAACTTTTTGACAAGGGGACCAGTAAATCCATTCACGAACTTTTGGAGGACCGGTAACTTTCATCTGCATATTCATTAATCAAATGATGAATATTCAAATAAGTTGTTTCTGGTCCTCCCAAAGCCCCCAGTGCCAGCTTTAGCAAAGCTTTTGATATGGTCACCCACAATATTCTTGCCAGCAAGTTAAGGAATATGGATTGGATAAATGGACTATAAGACAGACAGAAAGCTGGTTAGACCAGGGTTTCCCAAACTTTTTACTTTAGTTGGAAACCTTTTTTTCCCCTGTATTGTTTTTTGCAGCCCAAAAATATAAACACATAAAAAACAAACTGAGAAAATATCAGACATATAACATGTCTGGTATTTTCTCATTAGGTAAGTTTTATTATTACTAGATGTATCAGCTTGTAGTTTCAAACTTCCTGGCTGGTAAATGTGCTCAGACTGCGTGAGTGAGTCTACCAGCCAGACAGTTCGCAACTACTCCAGGGAGTGGGTGGGGGTGGGGGTCACAATAGAATCCCCTGGCCGGACTCACTTGTGCTTTGCGGGGGGGAAAGGGGGCAGCGTCCCGAGATCCATATATGGCCGGGTCAGTCCCGCTCCCCGCAGGCCAATTCGCTCCCCTTGCTGCGCCTCCGGCCAGCCTCACTTCCCCCAACACCCTCCCGGACAGCCAGTTCTCCCCCGCTTCTCCTCCCAATCTCCCTTGGCCAATCCCGCTGCCCGCGTCCAGCCCTGCTTCCAGTGGCTGCTTCTCCCCCCGCCTCCATCTTCACCAGCCAGCTCCCTGTCCCCAACCTCGCACCCCTTGTCAGCCCTGCTTCCGCTGGCCCCCCAGGCAAGCCCTGCATCCAGCAGCCGCTTCTCCCCTACTCCTCCTTCCAAACTCCCCCGGCCAGCCCCCTGCCCAGCTCTGCTTCCGCCTGCTGCCCCGCCCCGATTCCCCCGTCCAGTGCTGCTTCTGATGGCCGGCTCTCTCCTCCTCTCCCCCACTGACCTCCCCTAGCTACGCATCTGCCGGGAGCTGGAACATCCAGCTGCAGACTCTGCCCAGGCCAGCCAAGGGCTTTGGGGATCCGGCACCACACAGGCACTCTGGGAGCCTGGAACACCCCGGCAATCACGCTGAGGCCCAGTACTTTTTTCCTGCAGCCTGGTAGCGGGCCATGTACCGTAAATTGGGAAACACTGTTTTAGACCATCATTCTAATAAGGAGGATTCCCATGCAAATGCCACTTTGAGTCTCATTAGCTTAGCCATTTTATCCAAGACTACACAGCTTAGAGGGGGTGCACATTTGGACTGCATATGGAATTAGGGGATAGTTTTAAAATAGGTTTAAAGGCACGTGTAGCTAACCTCATGAAGTCCACTCCAACATTCTTCAGAATGACTGTGGCAGCGTAAGTACAGCCCTCCTTCAGCACGCCAAATATCACTTTAGGTGGGATAAGATGGAATCCACAAAGATACTGGGTTGCTGTTGCAACAGAAGCTGTGTTGACTTTTCCCCCAACAGGATCTTTTACCTTTGCAAACAAGATCAATACATTGTATGGACAAGAGGGGAGGAAGTTAAACAATCCAACGTAAAAGATTGTAGATGGCCAACAAAGATGCTCACAGGCTAACAGGAAGGGGCTTGTCACTGAAAGGATAGAAACTATAGCTTACCTCCTATAACAGTGCCGACTGCCAAGTATAATGATGTCAGCTTCTGTTCAAGGCTTACCTGGATCTGGCCAAATACTGACAACAGTTTCACATAGTTTTAAGGGAGAGAAAAGGAAAAGCAAAGAAAAGCAAATGCCAAAATGCAAATGACTGAGCAGCTAAAACTGTTAAAGACGAAGGCCAACATTTTTAAATTAGGGATCCTGAAGTAAAGTAGGGCATCTACATCCATATTTAGGAGTCTAGATAAGAGAGGCCCTATTTTCAGAGTTGGTGAGCCATTCAAGTCAGTGAGAAGTGGGGGCACTCAGCACCCCTGAAAATCAGGGTACTTCTATTCAGATGCCTAAGTATGGACCTACATGCTTAACTTTAGGCACCATACCTGTGGTCTAATTATTCAGAGAGAAGTTATTTCTTGTACAGTCAGCCCCAGATACATTGCAAGTGCTACTGTTTCAATAAAGAGAAATTCCAAATAGAGATCAGTGCTGCTGCAGAGTGACCTAACAACATTGCATAAAAGAAATGTGCTCAGGGAGACAAACATTAGCCAAAAATGTTTATTTTACCTTTTCCTTGGGCACAGATTCTGGCTTGCCCCCCTGAATAGATAATGGTAATTTCACCTTCTCTTTTCTTGGCTGCCCGGCAGCATCCACCAGCAGACTCCGGGCATGAGGCTGGAAAGGTATCCCAGATGTGCACACAACTGTTTCCATTTCTGTTCAGAAGCCAACATTTCAAAGAGAGACACTGAAGCCCAAATCTGCATAAATAGAATGCATACTAACTTCCCTAGGGGTATGTCTACACTACCACCCTAGTTCAAACTAGGGTGGTAGTGTAGACATACCCTAGGAGTCTAGTCTGCATCAAGTCTGTAGGATCAGGCTCAGTGGTTTTATTTAGCAGAGAAATGTAAGAGCAGAAAAAAGCCCTTTTTAAAATCTACTAACAGGAAACAAATATCCTGGGGCCACTAGAGAGAAAGGGGATTTCTATCACTTAGTCTTACTGGCTTTTCTTTTTAGAAATATCGAGGAGAAAAAATTAGATGTTACTCTTGCTAGCACAGCAACCTGTGTTTGCATGTTGATTCCTGCATGCTTCAAGAGTAAGTTACTATGGGTAAGAATATCTTATGCAAAGCCTCTGCTCTTTGCTTTACATGTCATTTGGGGCTGAAGACAAACCAGAGAGTCTGTGGAGGTAGAACTCTGGGGGAATCTGCATAAGCAACTGGGAAGACTGTCTTCAGGGTCTAGCGCAGTTGGTCTTGATCTTGGATTTACCACCTCAGAGAGGGGAGGGGCCTACGCATTGGTCTGCTCTACAGAGTCATTCTCACACTTTCTCTCTGGCCCAATGAGCATTTATTATACACACTACTATTGTTATATCAGCAAAACTTTTATGATGTAGACAAGGTTTCAGAGGCACAGAACAAAACATACAGCCCAGGACTATAGGATCAAGGTAGGGTTATCTCCGCTGTGCACCCTGCAGACTTTGGTCTGTGTGGGGTAGGTGTGGCCCTCACAACAACTCAGGCAGCTTTCCATGGCTAAGTTATTGCAGCAGCTCTCCTGGAATCCTAGCAGTGCTATGCATTGAGGTTTCACACCTTCTGCCCTCACTGCACAATTCCTGCTCTTTGCCCTGCTCCAGACAAGTCCCCTATGCCAGGCCTTGGGTTGGGGGCCTTGTAGGGCAGTGTAAGTTGCTTTGTGCAAAGCATGTGTTAGGACAGGGGTGTGGAACTCGATGTGGGCCCTGCCTTGCCTGGATCCAGTCCCTGAGGCTTAGGGTTCCCCCCTACCCCAGCATTGGGGATCCTGGGCTGGCACTCCAGCCTCTTTGCTATCCTCCCGTGGGGCCCACAAAATCTACTAGCCTGAGCTGCCCTAGGCTCTAGTGCAGGGGTGGCCAACCCGTTAGAGACGAAGAGCCAAAATAGTAGTGGATAGAGTGCAAAGAGCCATGTACCTGGTGGTGGTGGTATTGGTGGGGGAATTATTGAGGGGAAAAAAAAGCTGTTCTGGGGCATACCATCACGCAAACAAACAAACAAACACACCACTGGGAAGGGGTGAAAGGTGCAAGCTCTGGGAGGAAATTTGGATGCAGGAGGAAGTAGAGAAGAGGATGGTGGCTCAGGGAGGGGGCTTCAGGCTGGACAGTGTTGGGGTCAGGTGGAGGGTTGGGGTGCTGAGGAAGTTGCAGGCTTGTGGATGTGAGGGGACAGGGGTTTGGGTTGGGTGCATGAGGGGCTCAGGGCAGGGAGGTTGGGAGTATGATGGGCTCAGGACACAGATTTGCAGTGTGTGGATGGTGCAGGAGTGTTGTGGCAGAAGACTGAGGATGTGGGGGTGCAGGAGTTTGGGGATGTGAGAAGCTCAGGACAGGGGGTTCCAATGTATGACAAGCTCAGGTTTGGGATCTGGGGGAGAGGGGGCAGGAGTGCTATGATGCTGCGGCCAGATGGGGGGTTGGTGGCCAGGCTTTGTTTTTAAATAAAATATTATGTCAAACACAAAAGGTTTCAGCATTGTCTTTATTTATGAGAGGGGTGGGGAACCTGTTTTGAGTCAGGGGTCACTGACCCACAGAAAAGTCAGTTTGTGGCCACACAAGTGAGATGCAAAAAACAACTGCTCCAAAACCCCCAAGCCTCACTAATGTGGCCCCAACTGTGTTGGTGGTGACAGGGTGCTGGGACAGGGTGCTGGAGCAGGTGGCAAGTTGCTGGGGCAGGGTGCTGGTGGGTGCTGGGGCAGGGGCCTGGGAGATGGGGTGGCGGGACTCAGGGCACAGGGGTCAAGAGCCAGGGCAGGGTGTGGGGAGGCTCAGGGCAGAGGCCGATGCAGGGTTCAGGGTGGGCTGGCTCAGGCCAGAGGATTCAAGGCAGGGGGCTGGGAGGGCAGAGGGGTTTCCCTGGCCCA